ACAACTCAGTTGGGGTGAATTTAACATAAAATGTCTGCTCTTTCCCCAAGCACTGTGCAAGTTCTCTTTCTAAACAATCTTTCAGAGAGACAGAGGAACTTCTGTTTCATATAAGAAAAATACAGTTTGTTTTGGTTTGGGCATCACTGTTCTTCATTAGAAAGATAGTCTTTGCAGGACATTGGGATTAAAGTTGATTTTTTCCTCTTTCCTCAGGTTCACTTAAGACCTACTTAGCCACTACTTAATAAAGAGGTTAGAACCTGCACAGTGTTGTACTTAGTCTCATCCCCTCTGTTATCACAGAGTCTTCCTTGAATGATTAATATCACACGAGGCAAGTGAAAGCCCTGGAAAGCTCGGGTACATGCTTGTGTGAAGAGGATACATAAGAGCAGGAGCCTCTTCCCTTCAGACTCAGCAATGACAGAGGAGGCAGGGCTAAGTGCTCCCCTCAGCATATTCAAACCTCTTGATCCAGTAATGCCTGAACAGGGCTTGAGAGTACAAAACAGAGAGTTTATAGCACAGGCACTGCCAGCTTAGACAGTACTAGTGGTTGTGCCTCCATGTCGAATCATTTTCCAGTAGGGCAAGTAAGATAAATTTACTCTTCAAACTACCACTGTCATGACTACTGCTTTCTTCCTGATTTATTTTCTGTGTTCTCTCTCTCATTTCTCTCTCTCGCACGCACATGCACACACACACACACAAACACACACACACAAAGAGAGAGAGAGAGAGAGAGAGAGAGAGAGAGAGAGAGAGCAGCTACCGATCACCTACTCACAATGCCTGTTCATTGATAGCCCAATACTGTCATGAAAAGCTTGAAAGTAACCAATTACTGTTAACAGCACAGTGTGTGTCCTGTTTTTGTGGGTAAGATAACTTTTTATATACATTTTTGAAGGAGGGAAAAACTATAATGGCCAGCAGTATTGTTCATTTTTCCCCAGTAACAGTTAACACTTATTCTGTCACTGCATCTAAAACACTGTTTGGGGGACTCATTTGGAGAGGGGAAGTTGTGGCATTTATTTATTTATTTATTTATTTGAAATAATTTCTCTCAGACCTGAACGTATTTTTGTAAAACAGTATCAAGAATAGTAACATGTTAGTACTGAGATGTGTGACTCTTAAAATAACAAACAAATAATGAGCAAGGTACAAGTTGTCAAAAAGCAATGACTAATGGCAACACAGCCATGATTTAAAACATAATTTTCCAAGCTCTGTGATAAGACAGTACAGTGGTGCCTCGACTTACGAACATCCCTACTTATGACCATTTCGAGTTATGGCCAGCTCCGGCAGCAACATTTTGCTTCTACTTGCCACCGGAGTTTCCACTTACAAACAGAAAAAGGCAGGGGAAAAAGTCGGGAAATTCAAATTTCTAACTGTAGGTGGCGACAAGGCTGCTTCTTTGTAGCTCTTTCGCCCCAGCAGTTAGAGATCGTCAGAGCCTTAGGAGACTTGGGACTGCGGGAGGCTTCGGGCTGCCTGGTAAGGTAAGGTGCTGTTTTCTGCTTTTTAAAACTGTTCTGGGTGTTTTTGCAGCGTGGTTTTCAGCTGGGGGGTTTAGGTTTCTGTGCTGTGATGGGTCTTGGGGGGGTTTGTTTGTTTTTTAGTTCCCCCCCCATTTCTGATGGATCTTGGGGGTTTCCTTGCTTTTTAGTCCCCCCCATTTCCAATCCTGCACAATCTGCTTGATTGCTTTTTGCTTTCTCTGTTTGCATTTGCAATGGGTCTTGCAAGGTTGAAGGGTTTTTGATTTGTTTTTGTTTTTTGCATTAGGTCTCCCACACTTGATTGCTTTTTGCTTTCTCTTGTTTGCATTTGCAATGGGTCTTGCATAGTTGATTGCTTTTCTCCCCCCCCCCCTCGGCTGGAAGGGATTAATTGCGTTTCCGACCGGTCTTGCAGTGATTTTTTTTTTGTGATTTTTTTAATTCAGCCGGGACAGATTAATTGCATTCCAATGCATTCCAATGGGAAATGGTGCTTCAACTTATGACCATTTTGACTTATGACCATCTTCCTGAACCATTTAAGTTCATAAGTCAAGGCACCACTGTAGTACAGTGTTCAAGACCTTCTATGAAACTGTTGCCCAGCTACAATCCACATATCTGAGGAACCCTCTCCTTTGACAGAGGAGAAACATTGCATGTAGGCAACAACTTACCTACTATTTCTTTTTTGCCTTCACTACTTGACGCACCCATGTGGTAGGAGCAGTTGTGAATTAGACAAGTGCAAAACCTGAACAAAAACCCTGCCTTCAGCTAAGGAAAGAAACACGAATTCTTACATGAAGAAGGCTTCAAGGCACTTCTGCTAAAAATAAGTTATTTTAGATCAGGGTGATTTGCAGTTAGGGAAACCAAATTACTGGCACACAATCTAAAACTTCATAAATTTTAGCCTCTGAGATATATATTGTACCTATCAAATAATGAAATGCTGCAATTTTGTGCTTTCAGTTAATATATTTGATTCTTGGTAGCTATGCATCACGTTGTTAAGGGAGTACATATTTAGATATAAATGGTGAGATAATGATGCAGAAAGGCAATTGCTTCTGTGTAGCATCAGGTTCTTGAAATTTATAGATTAAAGCTTGCACAGAGGCCAGCTTCACTTCCAGTCACTGTGAGATCACTTTTCTAGCTGACATACTACTGAAATCCAGTTAATTAAACAAGACACTGTCACAGAGTGTCTATCATGGACAGATGTAAGATTGAATCAAGCCATGTATCTGGCACTGAGAACAACCAAAACCTAATGGGTATATAAGTTATTTGAAATGGTGGGGGAGCAGAGTTACCACCTATTTTTAAAATTTGTTTCAACTCTACATGAAAGCTTTCAACCAACATGAAAGGTTTAAAATCAGTTTAACCATCAATAGAAAAAAGAATAACACTATTGCGAAAAACAAAAGCATAGAGATCAGTGGTTATCAAAATATAGTAACGAGACTTCTGAAAGCTTGTGCTTTAAACAAGATTTGAGATGTAAATCAGAATCTAAATCCAACTGCTTGTCCGAAATTGAGCAGACTCATTGAATCAAATGCTATATGGTAATCCAACATTTATTTTTAATGGGAGTGCTCTAGATAGAAATAGCTCAATAGATCCAGATGAATCCAGTTCAAAACTTATGCCACCCAGAGTAGACCCTGGTCTAGATGGGTAGGGTAGAAGTCTAATGAATAAAATAAAATAAAATAAATAATGTTACAGGGAAGTCCTAAAAGGTACTGAGGTAACATGAAGAAAACATTCTGAATTCTTAAGGGAAAGTATAGAAACTACAAGTGACTTGTTATTGCAGCAACCAAGGAAGTTTAAGGAATTTATACTTGGTGGGTTCTGATACAGACTAACTTGGTTTGCATCTCCAGAACTAATCTACAGATCAAAACAGTTATAGCTTGATTTCATACTTCTCCAAATTTTGCAATGCAGTTGAAAAAAAACTATCAAGGTGTGTATGTTAAAGTAAAATACAATGATAAACAATATCTTTAAACAATCCATATATATTCAAATACATTTTTGCACATCTTTTATAAAAAATCACCCATGAATGCAGAAATGGGATATAGGAATGAACAAATAAAAGTGATACAGACTGGGGGAAAATTGGACAGTCCATCTCTAATGTTCCCAGCATTTCCTAATATGTTAATTAGGTCACAACATCATTGTGGGTAAAAACAGAAGGAAACAGGAGATCCCAAAATCCTTCACTAGCTGAAATCCTGTTGCAAGGTTGCTCCAATGGCATAACTTTTAAATATAAGTAGTTCTAAGTTAAGAAGTCTCTGTAGGCATTATCTGTTGCATGCTAAGTCATGCAACTCAGTATGCAGCAGTTAATATCTAGAGACTTCTTAACTTACAGCAATTCACATCTAAATGTTATGCCATTTGCACAATAGGATTTCAACCAGTGTCCTACATTTAAGTCACATTCAAATTTTTTAAACATCTAAAAGTTATGCCATTTGCACAACGTACATTTAAGTCACATTCAAGTTTTTTAATTGGGATAAATCCAATATGTAGAGAGGAACATTGTAGCTCTGTCAATCTCTGTCATCCCCTCTGATATATGTAGGTCAACAATTCTAAAGAGGGGGAGCTCTGTTATCAATGAGGGCTCTGGATGTCAAGGTCTAGACTCACATGGACAATGTCCATAAATAACAACACTGTTGCTCTTTAGGTTCATCACTGCCATTTAGAGGGGAGAGAAACCAAAGATGGAGGGGAGTCTAGAGTAGTGCCTTCTACACTTGGGCGAGTTTACCCAAATAATTATGCTTAAATATGGCTGAAATAAATGCTGGTGCAATATTTCATTTCTACCCTAACCACACTTGAATATAAGTGTAGACATGTAAGATCTCAACTCAAACATATGCTTGAGGCCTAGGAATGTGTAAAGCACACCCAGTTTCCAAATATGGCACAAATGCTTTTCTAACAACTCCTTATATGTGTCTTAATTGACTAAAATAGCACAAGGTGTCAAGCGAGCCCCAGAACATTCCCTGTCTAGTCAAAGATTTACACTACACACAACAACATGGGCAAGTTCTACAAAGTAATCTTGATGTGTAGTGTCATAGTAGCAAAACTCCATCTGGCACAGCAGAACCTTCTCCCTCTCTCCACTTCATACATCCACACCTTCTTGCGGCTCAAAAATCTGATCCACAAGGTTTCTTTAGCCACTTAGAGCAGATTTAGAGGATGCAATGGGAGTTCTGGAGAACCCCCACCCACATTCCAACTCTGTCAATGGAATTACACCTCCAAATCCCACCTGTAATCTAAGAAGAATACAGATGGTGAGAAAAGTTCAGGCTAACTTCTAGTTCTGTTTTGTATTGCCTCCAAAAAGATGTTCAGTTCTATTACTGTAAGAAAAATAAATGAATAAGAAAATAGTGAAAGACTTATTCAACTCACCGATCTATTGCTTCCACGTCAAAGCAAAATCTCTTTTCTATAGAATCAGTTTTCCGTCGTGTGCAGGACTTGAGGATAATGGCTTCATCTTCACCCTGGTAGAAGACAGAAATCAAATTTGACCCATCTGTCTGTAAATTACATAGAGGTAATAACCATGTTCTGAATCCAAGCCATCATTATCTTACACATCATCATCATCATCATCATCATCATCATCATCATCATCATCATCATCATCATCATCGTTGTTGTTCCACATTTCTCCCAACAAGGGACCCAAAGTGGCTCACAACATTAAAATTCACACAATTTAAAAACACAATAAGTTAAATAGAAAAAGATGAACTAAACAATATACAATTTAAAATACAATTAAAAGATTAAAACATAAAAACACAAAAAAGATTAAAATTATCTACTAAAATGGGGTTCAGGTATTCAATTATAGTTGTGAAAAGCCTGTCTGAAGAGATGGGTCTTTAGCTTTTTTCAGAAGAATAACAGGGAAGGGGCCATCCTGATCTCCCGAGGGAGAGTGTTCCATAGCTTGGGAGCTGCCACAGCGAAGGCCCTCTCCTGTGTCCCCATCAGTTGTGCTTGCACTGGCAATGGGACCAAGAGGAGGGCCTCCTCATATAATGTATATATTATGTGGCTCAATGATGAATACTGATAAAAACAACAAGCTGAAGAGAAGTCAAGATTTTAGTACTACCTGTAAACCAGCTTCCAAAAAATTACATATAGAAATCATGGTAAATATCCAACACCTCAGAACAGATAAGAACATATGACAGCCCTGTAGCAGCAGAGCAAACTTTCAACGCATCCAAGGGAGAGGGAACATGTGCTGTTCCAGATGTTTTTGCACTACAACACTGATCAGCCCTTGGCAGCATGATCAGGAACCACAGGAACTTGCCATATAAAATATGTGGCTGACAACACATTCCAGGTCCCCCAAACAGTCCAAATATCACTACTTCAGACAGGAACCAATGAGATCCCTGCAGAAACCCAACAAATCAAGATTTAAAGGAAAAGAGAGGTTACTTGCCTGTAACTCTGGTTCTTCGAGTGATCAACTGTGAATTCACACTATAGGGTTTAATATGCGCTTGCGCAGAGGTATGCGGAATATTCTAGAGCTTTATCACGCGTTTGCCAGGACCATCCCCCCAGTACATGTGGTCTGCCCATCCTGGCGATTACCTCAGTTCCTAAGAACAGCCCGCCGCTGTTTCAAATGGAACAGATGTGACGGACAGAGAGGAGGATGGGCGGGAAGTGTGAATTCACAGATCACCACTCAAAGAACCAGAGTTACAGGTAAATAACCTCTCTTTCTTCTTCATGGTCTCTGTGAATGCACACTATAGGGTGACTGACAAGCGGACTTACAGGAGGAGGGATGCCACAGAAGAACAGATGATAAGACAGCTCTGCCAAATGCCGCATCTGTCTTGGCTCTGACATCGAGGCGGTAATGTGTGGCAAAGGTAGATGGAGTCGAGCATGTGGCAGCCTTACAAATGTCAGGAGAAAGTATACCTCTTTAAAAGGCTGTAGAAGCTGCAATGGCTCTTACGAAATGTATTGTGAGAGAGTATGATATCAGCTTGTGGGAGAGTTGATAAGCAAGGCAGGTGGTTGTCACAATCCATCAAGAAATGGCTTGGGAAGAAATCTGTGCACCTCTGTGAGGAACATGTGAAGTAATAAAGAGCCTCCTAGACTTGCAAAAAGCAGAGGTCCTGGAGACGTAAAACGCCACAGCTTGCCGAATATCGAGCGAGTGTAGGGACCGTTCAAGGTCATTTGCCAGTGATGGGAAGAAAATAGGTAAGACAATGGGTTGCTTGAGATGAAACTCAAAGGTAACCTTTGGGAGAAAAGAGACATCTGGTTAAAGAGCAACTTTGTCCAGGTGCAATTGAAGGTAGGGCAGGTCGACTTGAGGGAGTCTGGGCTGACTCCTGTTCTGAAGAAGTACAGTGGTGCCTCAATTTACGAACTTAATTGGTTCAGGAAGTTGGGTGTAAGTCAAAATTGTCGTAAGTCAAAGCACAATTTCCCATTCGAATGCATTGAAATGCAATTAATCTGTTGCAGCTGAAGAAAAAAAATCACACACACACCCCAAAAACAAAAAACCCATCAAGACCAGTCAGAAATGCAATTAATCCCTTTCAGTTGAAGAGGGGGAAGAAAAGCAATCAACTGTGCAAGACCAATTGCAAATGCAAACAAGAGAAAGCAAAAAGCAATCAAGCATGGGAAACCTAATGCAAAGAAAACGAACCAATACCCATTCAACCATGCAAGACCCATTGCAAATGCAAACAAAAGAAAGAAAAGCAATCAAGCATGGGAAACCTAATGCAAAGAAAACGAACCAATACCCATTCAACCATGCAAGACCCATTGCAAATGCAAACAAAAGAAAGAAAAGCAATCAAGCATGGGAAACCTAATGCAAAGAAAACGAACCAAAACCCATTCAACCATGCAAGACCCATTGCAAATGCAAACAAGAGAAAGCAAAAAAGCAATCAAGCAGATTGTGCAAGATCAGAAATTGGGGGGGGGGCTAAAAAGCAAACAAACCTCCCAAGACCCATTCGGAAATGGGGGGAATCTAAAAAGCAAGGAAACCCCCCAAGGCCCATTGGAAATGTGGGGAAAAACCAAAAAACAAAACAAACGCACCCAAGACCCACCACAGCACAGAAACATAACCCCCAGCTCAAAACCACGCTGCAAAAACACCCAAAACAGTTTTTAAAAAGCAGAAAACAACACCTTACCTTACAAGGCAGCCTGAAGCCTCCCTGCAAACACACACACACACACACACACACACACACACACACACACACACAGAAGTGGAAGGAGGCAGTCCCAAGTCTCCTAAGGCTCTGACGATCTCTAACTGCTGGGACGAAAGAGCTACAAAGAAGCAGCCTTGTCACCACCTACAGTTAGAAATTTGAATTTCCCGACTTTTTTCCCTGCCTTTTTCTGTTTGTAAGTGGAAACTCCGGTGGCAAGTAGAAGCAAAATTTTGTGGCCAGAGCTGGACATAACTCAAAATGGTCGTAAGTAGGGGCATTCATAAATCGAGGCACCACTGTAGAGAGTGCATTTCTTGTTGTGAAAGGTCTAAAAAATGTCTATGCAGCGATGGCCCAACAATTGCACAGATCGAGGAACACTGAGTTGTCGTGAGTCCATTCATGCATCTGAGTGTGCAGCCTGCTTAATGTGTCTGCCAGTTGATTGTGCTGGGTGGCGACATGAACTGCGACTGGATAGATGTGGTGTTCGTAACATCACTCCCACAATTGGACAGTAAGTTAGAGGAGAGATAGGGAATGAGTGCCTCCTTGTTTGTTCACACAGAAAAGAGCAGTGGTATTGTCTGTGGTGATTTGTATGGCTGTTCCAGTAATGATGGGTTCGAAAGCACGGAGGGCTTTCAAAATGGTGAGGAGCTTGAGCTGACTGATGTGGAGCCTCCTTTCCACATGTGACCATAGGGCATGTATCCAAAGGCCATTGCAATAAGCTCCCCATCCAATAGGGTTGGCATCGGTGGTGACTTAGGTCGTGAGCTACAGCAAAGCTAAGGGCCTGCCCATGAACAGATTGTCTGGTGTGTCCAACCAAAGTGGTTGAGCCCCGAGCTCTGGTGTTACTTGGAGCAGCTTGCTATGTGGATCAGAAATTGGGTCGAAAAGACAGAGGTACCATGCTTGGAGTGAGCACATTTTTAGCCGGGTATGTTGTATGATGGATGTGGTTGAAGCTATGAGTCTGAGGAGGCACTGGGCTTGATGCGGAATTACAACGATGTGAGTCTGGAAGTAGAATGGAGCTTTATTGCTCATTCTTGAGAAAGGAATGCCCACGCTCTTTGTGAGTCTAGGATGGCACCTATATAGGTGACAATTTGAGAAGGTAGGAGGATAGATTTGTCTACATTGACTCTTAGGCCCAGATCTGGTAGGAAGGATAAAGTGAGATCTAAGTCATGGATAGCCTGGGAGTGGGAAGGCGTGCCCAGTAACCAGTCGTCTATGTACAGGAAGATGGAGTCTCCTCGTGTACGGAGATGAGCTGCTACCAGGGCCATGACTTTTGTGAAGACCGGGGGGGCAGTGGATAGCCCAAATGGGAGGGCCTTGAATTCGTAAATGGTGTCTCCTAGAGAAAATCTGAGAAACCTTTGGTGATTGTGGTGAATAGTAATGTGAAAATAAGCATTGCTTAGGCCGATGACAGCAACCAGTCGCTTTACTGAAGAATGGGTAGTGAGGGTTCTAGTGTAACCATATAGAAATGTTTCTGAAGAATGTAGTAATTGAGGTCCTGGAGGTTGAGGATGGGTCTGAGACCTTCGTCTCTCTTTGGGATGGTGAAGTACTGGGAGAAGAATCCACGGTTGTCATTTGAAGGAATGACAAGAGTGATGGCATATTTTAGTAAAAGTGATCAAATCACTTATTTTAGTGTGTCGGACGGAGTTGTCAGATTATCCTTGGTGGTGGTAGGAGGGAGAATTCAATCAGGTAACCTGTGGTGATGATGCCGAGTACCCAAGAGTCAGTAGTGATGGAGGCCCAGGGCAGAAAATGAGCTGAGAGACAAGCGTTGCCAGATGGTATGGTGGGAAGTGTGTGGATCTGGGTGAGAGAGAAGTCAAAGGCTCTGTTTTAATTTGTTGTCATGGCACCTGAAAGATTGTCTAGGGCATTGTTGCTGTGTGGCACGTTGAGGCTGAAAGGATGAGGAAGATGTTGGTAAGTACCTCTGTCATTCAGGAGGAGGCTTGTATTGCTGGTACAGATAAGGGCAGCACCATTGATATCGTTGAGGGCGATAATATGTCTGAGTATTGCATGAGTATGCTGTTTTTCTCATCTTTTGTAGGTTGTCTAAAGTTTTGTCCATCTTGTCAACAAAAAGGCCGACTCCATCGAAAAGCAAGTCCTCAATGCAGAGATGTTGAGTCTTCAGAGATATGGGCCAAGCGGAGCCATGGGTGTCTGTGAAATGTGATAATAGTGGCCATGTGTTTGGACATAGCCTCTATAACATGATGAGCAGTGATGCACCCTTGACAAGCCACTGCTATAGCCTTTTAGTGGAAAGCAAGGCCACGTGCTTTGTATTCGTCAGGTGCGGACTGGAGGGTTGGGAGAGCTTTATTCCACAGATGATGGTGGTACGCTTCCATGGCAGCTAGGTAGTTGGCAGCATAAACCGTGAAAGGGGCAAGAGAGTAGACTCTACGTCCAATGATATTGAGCCTCCTGCCTTCTTGTTATTGTGAGTTGCACTAGAGCGATAGTGAGCTCTATTTTGCATGGCATCAACTATAACCAAGTTGGGAGGTGGATGTTTGGAGAGAAAGGAAGTATTATTTCCATGTGCTTTATATAAGTTCTTAACACGTCTGGAAATTGCGGGACAGAGGAGGGGTTTGGCCATGATTGTTTGGTAAGTCTGAGGAGAGAAGGGATAAACCTCATATGGAGTGGAGGAGTTTGATCCTGATTGATATCCTTGTAAACTTTGTCTGATTCTGTAGGGACTGGATGTTGAACATCTAAGTCCATAACCTTTGCAATATGGAGAATGAGTTGCAAATAGGAGAAGTCCTCAGATGGAGACAGTGGGTTGGTATCAACCACATCTGAATTGGGCATAGGCAGGTTAGGTAGAGACTCCTGTGGTGGGGAGGAGTTGAGCGTCTCGTTGTCAGAAGGCAGAGGTGATTGAGGTTGATAGCCTGGAGGTGGAGGAGACTGTTGATATGGAGAGCCAGCAGTATGAGGCACATCGTCATGTGATGACAATGGAGGATAGCATTGAGATTTGTTGGTACCATGTTTGGAGTGAGGAATCTGGTGAGAAGTAGATCATTTGAGCTGGTGAGTGTTGGTAGTATCTAGAGGAGCCAGTGATGGTCCAGTGTAGGTGGTAGTTACCTGTAGAGAAAAAGAACGCACGTGGGAGAGTGTGGTCAGCTTGGTGGCAAACAACGTCGATGGGCAAGGTCGCTTTGGTACCGTGAGTGGTTGAGCGATGAAAGGCTCAGTAGGGTAAGACCACTTCTGTGTGGTTTTAGAAGGCTTCAGTACCGGAGGAGGAGGTATGTACTTGTCCTCGGAAGAGGTTTAGTAATGTGGTCAGGATCTAGTCTGGTACCGTGGAGGAGATGGGAACTTTGAGGAGTCTGATGGGTAGTAGTAGGCATATCGAGGATGTTTTCGATATAGAGACCAGTATCAGGCTGCCAATACCGATATGACCAATGCCGGAATCGCTTAGGCAGAGGTTCAAAGTAAGTTGGAGGTTCATATAGGGTAACTCGCTTTGGATGGCGGTAGCGAAGTTGGGTGGCCTGCAATGTCGGCAACCCTGATGGTTTCAGAGGTTGATATTGTTTGATATCAGATCGGCAAGTCCACGGTGTATGGTTGGTCTTTCAAAATCGTTTGTGCAGATCAGCCAGTACTGATGCTGAATCCGACTTGAAACTCATAGATTTGGGGCTCGAATAAGCAGATTATGCAATCATGGTCACCTCAGCCGAGGTATTAGCCCATTCTGGGGACTGAGTGAGCAGAGCAGAGGGCAAGTGACCAGATGGCAGAGGGATAGAGTCCTCATTTGCAGAAAGGGAGTCAATGCATACTGTTGGTTGATCCTGCATAGGAGGTGCAGAGGTCATCCTGCTGGGAAGAAGTCGAGAAGACGGTGGATTAGATTGTTTGGCTTTTTCAGCTTAGAGTGCTCTGAAGTTGAAGATGTCTTCGGTGTCATTGTCGATTTCAATGTCAATCCCGAAGTCTTAGATTTAGAAGAGAGCTTGGAGTTAGACTTTGAGGAGGTCTGTTTGGATGTCGGAGAAATGGAAGATACATTGGAAGAGGCAGCAGCCAGAGGTTGGGAAGTTGGTGTGGCCTCCATCGAAGTCGGTAGAAGACAGAGGTAACGTTCCCAAAGGAAAGATCTAATGCGCTGTTGCCGAAGTTTGAGAACCTGCTTTGTGAGATTTCTGCAGGCTTGACACGATGAGGGCTGGTGTGATTCCCAGAGGCAGAAAAGACAGGAGTTGTGCCCGTCGGAGAGGGGAGTTTTATTAGGACACAAGGTGTACCATTTGAATGGCCCTGTGGGGGCCATAAAATAGTGGGAAGGGGGAAATGGGGAAGGGGGGGCAGCCGGTAGAAGGAAAAAACAGTTGAAGAGTCTCTTACTGATTTTCCTCTAACGTCCTTTTTCAGAAAAAAAGTAGAAGCAAGGCAAACAAAGAGCTCATTGTAAGATGAAAACTCAGTGGTGGCAAAAACTAGGTTAATTGCCAGGATACGCAGATCACGTGTACTAGGGGGGCGGTCCTGGTGAACATGTGATAAAGCTCTAGAATATTCTGGAAACCTCTGTGCAAGCACAGATTAAATCCTATAGTGTGGATTCACAGAGACTACGAAGAAGAAGCAACACCCTTTTCTTTTTCTTATTCCTCAGCAATTTGTACTCAGTGGTGTTCCCTCTTAAGCCATGGTACCTCTTTCTGGCTACCATGGCCAGTATCTGAGGAGGGAGCTATTGACCATGAATCCTCTTTGCAAACCATCTAAGACGAGGGACAACATTATAACTAGCTTATCACACTGCTTTCTTCTTCTGTTGTGAGCTTAGGGTAGGTTCAGGAACAGGCTGAGGAGCTACATCTGTTGACTCTACCCAAAGAGTTCATCATCTAACATGTCATATCCTGTGGCTTTTGTCCTATTTTCCTACGGCTCCATTTGCTGGCTCCATCCACATACCACAATATTATTTTTCTGGTATTAGAAAGCCCAGCCAGCATCAGCCTTGCTATTTACCTATCCATACAACCCTCCTCCTCCAAATAACTAGAAGATATTATTTATAGTGCTGACCACTTTGCCTGTGACCCAACTCTCTTTCCTGATGGAAATTAAATCAAGAAAACACAAGACTGTTTCCGTCTTCTCTTGGCTGTGGAGCAGGTCAGGAACAGCCAGAAAGATCTACTGGATGACGGAGCACAAGAGGCCTCAGGACACTAACAAAGGAGTACCACTTGGCAAAACAGGCATTCTGGGAGCATGACTCATAATGCAAGTAGAAATGCCACAGGAAGAAGCGGTACTTGTGAAAGGCTGTAGGTCAGTACATGTTAAGCAGTGATTTAGGTTTAGGGGAACATGACCCAATAAGAGCACCAGCAAGATTACTTTAAATGCAATAGCTGTAGATTCCTAGGAGTACTGCCAAAACATATACATATTCCTAGGAATATGTATACATATACATATTCCTAGGAATATGTATATGCATACCTATTGTGCACTTCTTTGTGCAGAGACAACAGCTAGAGACAACCTGCAGAAAAGGGCAAAACAACCATTTGTTAGAAACGAAGTTTGTGCCCAGCATTACATCATGTCTTACAGCGAAGGAGAAAGTGCCCTCACAAAGGCTGTATGTGGTGAATTTATGTGAAAACTACCTATTGTAAAGAATATTCCTCTAAGTCTCCTAAGCACTTTGCATATTAAAAGAGATATTATCCTTGACAGAATCCTTGCTTGACTGAAAATTAATGCTGAAATGGCAGTACACTACATGAAAAGCACCTGGTCCACATACATCACCCATCCCTTTATGTCAGCATTGCTTATAATTTTTAAACTAGCCACTGTCTTCTCTGTTAACCATAAAAGGAACAAAATCGTAGGGCAATATTGTGGTAAATGACCTTTTGTGGACCTAGGTATGTGTTCTGAAACTACGAGAAAGAGGACATTAACTAAATTGATTAAGCTGACTAAAATTCCAGGTTCACTCAGACAATGAGGTTAATTCAAACAACAGACCTCTTGACCAAGGTACCAAACTTTGCTGTTCAGAACGTCTCCTCTTTCGAGTACAAATCTATTCCTAGCCCTAGGAAGAAATGGTTCCCCCTCTAGCACAAGACTAGATATTTTCTAAGAGGAATGCCTTGCCTTACAGTGTAATCTTTGTCCATCATGCATTTTTAAGAGAATATCGAGCAATCTGGAGCTAGCATTTCTTGAAGGCCACCATCTCCCTAGAATTAGGTTCCTTAGCTCTAATTGATTTGGACATGTTATATGTCCCACCACCTGGAGAAGCTAGATTGACGGGGACTTGAGAAAATGACCTTTCTGTAGTGGTGACACAATTATAGCATCACCTGCCAAGGAAGGCCAACATATCTTCCTCTCTTTTTTTAATAACATTCCTGGGTCCCCAAACAAGGTGTGCGGCTTTCAGATCCTCTGTTCCCAACATCCCTCTGTTCACTTCAGAGATCCCAAGCCTCTATACTAGCCTGGAATGAACGAAGAGGGAGATATTTCAAACACTGCCTCCTAACTCCCATCCTAGTCACAGTGAGGCAGCATGACTTTTAAAGTAGCTAACCCTCTGGCATGTCATCCCCCACCACCTTGCCACCAGCTCTTAAAGGGATGAGTCTGTCACATATTGAAAGAACTGATCCCTTCCCCCTCCACCACCACCTGAACATTTCCTTCATTGAAGCCTATCATGATCCTCATCACAATAATCTCAGAACTATCAATGGGTACAAGTTTCTGGCGCTCTCACTCACCCCCTTCCCACCAGACTTCTGGTCAAATGGCACCATAATTATTCGTTTAGAATCACTCTGATATGTGCAGTAATGCTTCACCCAGGAGGTCCCAAAATGACCTAAAAAGAATTGAAAAGGACTATAATCATTCACACATAATACAAAATTACCCTGTTTCTCTGAAAATAAGACTCAACCTGAAAATAACCCCCAGTAGGATTTTTCGGATACTGGTAATGTAAGCCGTACCCCTCAAAAGGCCCCAGTTAAGTGAAACCATGCCCTCCACCATTGTGCAGCAACCAGAAGAAGATGACATGACTGTATTTGAATAAACGTTGTACATGAAAAAAATAAAATAAAACATTCCCTGAAAATAAACCCTAATGCATTTTTGGAGCAAAAATTAACATAAGACCCTGTCTTATTTTTGGGGAAATGCAGTATATACTAATAACTAAAGCAAGCCGAGCAGCTGCAATGATTTTAGTGACACAGTTTTGAATTCAAGATGCTGGAATTTGGGAGAGGTGAAGAGATAATTAACCTAATTCAAAGGCATTTGTCCCTAGAAGGATTGGGGATAATCCCTGTCATTTTCAAGTAATTTACAGCAACTCTGAATAAAACTCCCAGAAGACAGAAAGTGGTCTAGGAGGCAGAGATAGGAGAATATACAGTACCTGAATGCAGGCATGCATTAATATTGTCAGTGAAAATCAGTGAGGTTTTTTCCTAAATCTTGTACAAAGATGACATCTCCCCTCATTAGACCTGGGGTTTCTTTTACAAGTCACACTTACTATCAGAGGACCTTCTGCCTATTCAACTTGAATCCTCCCCTCTCCCTGGCTGAGAAAAAAGACACTACTGCAATTTTATGAGTCAGCTCAAGAGTTCCCCTGCGTAGCAGCTACATGAAGTCAGAACAAAAGCACATACGCTTTTCCTGGACATAGAGGTAGCCCTCCATTGTGTAAGGACTGATGTTTTTGTGCTCATGGGGATTCTCCTTCATCTTCCTCATCAAGGACTCGACTTCTGATCTGGTGCCTTCAAACCGGTTCCTGGTCTGCATTCAAAAGAAGCAAGCAAACCTGGTGTTAAACGGCCCTTTCCAGACATCCACGGCATTACAAAGAGGTTGCTACTGCTTCAGATAGACCTGGGCAGGCTCTGAGCTTCCAGGATCTCCTTTGATTCCCAGTAGAATCCAGAGGAAGAGAGCCAGGAACAAAGTAGAAGCATAAGCATAATCCATACATAGAACTGAAGAACAAAGAGCTCTGGAGGGCCCAGGAATTTACTCTCCACCTCAGAACTGTAGTTCTGATACAAACCTGCTCTCTTTCCCTCTTATTATTCTTGATTTCAGCAGCCCATGAGGGGTTGCTACCATTGTTAGATAACTAGGATTTGGAAATCCTTCCCAATACGCTCAGAGTCATATGTACATCCCATCTACTTTCTGCCCCTCCTGGCCGGTAAATGCTAGCCAAAGACATGTTGCTGCCTGAAGTGCAGCCATACACAAAATCCCTCAACACATGCACCCAGCCAAACCACACTGGAGAGTACATTAGCTCCCAAAGCCAGCCAACTTATTCTAGCACTTGATGCAGAAAATTACACAAGCTCCTTATGGCAACAAAAATAATACATTCCATAACTAGTCTGCTACCTTTCCATGATATCAACAATCTGTTGCCTCAAGTGGCTGCCTTACTCTGGTCAATGGCTGGGCCGCCTTAGGCTCATGCATGTTTGGGTTCATAGGCAGCTATACGATGAAACCAACATTATATTCATATGGTATCATATATGTCTGCCATGAAGAGAGTACTTGTTAAACTTCCCTTAGCAGATATCACCACATGTACCAGTGTACTGTTATTTCTATTTCAGAATGGACATGAGCCACACATACACCAGTATACTCTGGCCACACTGCTTGATGGGGATCAAAAACAATATCCTTCAAAATATTTCTGGAGCTTTATATGGAGAGGGGTCAAGAAAATCAGCCGGACTGAATTAAAAGTTATATAATACAAGCAGACTGAAATATGGACCTATTGGGAGCAGTTAAAAGCACTTTTCATGTAAGTGTCTATTTTCTCTGCAATGGCTATTTTTAATGCATTGCATATCCTAACATCCCTAAGATAGAAGGAACTAGGCCATTATCAAGATCATTTAGTTCCATCTAAAGGGCTGTTGCCATTATACAAATTAGAACGGTTGCACAGCAAAATAGGTTTGGTAAAAGAGAAGAAGCTAAAATATATTGCTTATATAGGTGCGTTGTCTCTTTTCAGTGTTTCTACTTGGCTCTTACATTTTGTATGCTGATTGTTAGCTCTGTCTTGAAATCACTGAAATCCTTTGCAAGCTCATAGCCATGATGGTAGAATGTGAAGAGCCCCTGAAGAAAGGCCAGCAGCTGCAGAGGAGAAGAAAACAGCAAAAAAAGTTAAACATCAAAGACCTGAACAAATGTTAAGAAATGATTCACTAAGCTACACCACTGCAGTTTGTGTGTGTGTGTCTTACGAGAATTTTCTGAAGCTTCAGCAGTAGCATGGTATCATTCTGTAGCTCTAGAAAAAGTTTTTTTTAAAGTCTCTCATGCAGTTAGAAACTAAATATATTCACTGAGAAGCTGGTGCTACTGTGTTCAGTAAACATATTGTTCAATAGTTCTGCAGAGGGTTGCAGCCAGGCAGCCCAATCCTGTGAGTATGTATTCAGAAGAAAGTTTTACTTAATTCAGTGGAATTTCTCTGTTAGGCAAAAGATTGCAACCCTCATTTATTTTGGGTAGGACCTTTATGACAAGTCACTCTCTTGACTTTAGCTCTCAATGTGAACCCACTCTTGGTATCTAATGGCTGATATTCCATATTACATAAGCTGGGTCAGGTGCTCAAGCATGTGGTGGTACCTTATCTCAGGCATTTGTATCAGACTTTGTTCCGTTTCAGTCTGGTTCTTGATGTGCTGCTGAGATCAAAATGCCTCTGGCTGTCTTGGTGGATTATGCAGGGAAAGAACAGACAGAAATGTGTCCCACCTCATTCTGTAGGAGATCTTAGCTGTTGCTGATACCACCAATCATGGTAGACTTTGGGATTATCTTGAAGAGAAGCGGTTCACAAGATGCTATTTACAAAGTTTGGTCTTGTTAGCAGATGCCCAGATTTCCAGAAGGTAGCACTGACATACTCTTGTTAACTGCACTGGCCTTGGGGTGTCCAAGGACTTTTTATTCCGCTCACAGGTCACCCGTTTTCTTCATTTAATTTTCATGAAATTGCCCTGAAGCATTATAGAGTTTTAGCACTGATTACTACAAATAGGCAACTGAAACACAAGTTTGTATCGCCCTCCTATCTCTGTGTGAACAAGCTGTGGAAGTCTTGAACAAAACACTAACTTTCTCCCCAGAATTATTTGTATTTACTAGAATTCTATCATTATCTCTTTCATGTGTGGTAAATTGGTGGGCAGGGAAAATAGGGGATCAGGAGAAACAGTGAGTGTCCGAAGTTCCTACTACCATGCTAAAAGGTCACAGATGGATGAACTGTGGCAAGGTTGCTAGGAAAAGCCTATATACTGTAAGAACATAAGACCTGAACAAAGACGGATGAACTGTGGCAAGGTTGCTAGGAAAAACCTATATACTGTAAGAACATAAGAGACTTGCTGGATCAGGCCGAGGTCCCATCTAGTTCAGCTTCCTGTATCTCCCTGTGACCCCACCAGATGCCTCTGCGAGCAGATGAGACAACTAGATGCCTGTTTCCTGATCTGGCATTTGGAGGTACCTTCCCTTTAAGACTGGATATTATACACCCCCATCACGGCTTGTAAGCTGTGATGGACTTTTCCTCCAGGAATCTGTCCAATCCCCTTTTGAAGGCATCTAGGCCAGATGCCATCACCACATCCTGTGGCAAGGAGTTCCACAGACTAAGAACATGCAGTACTGATTTAAATAAATCTTTTCTTTTGTCTGTTCTCACTCTCCCAACACTCAATTTGAGTGAATGTCCCCTGGTTCTGGCGTTGCATGAGAGGGAAAAGAGTTTCCATCTATCCACTTCATCCATCCCCTACATAATTTTATATGTCTCAATCATGTCCCCCCTCAGGTGCCTCTTCTCTAAACTAAAGTAGTGGCCCCCAACCTTTTTGCCTCCACAGACTGGTTTAGCATGCAGGTGGGGGGTGGGGGGGATCTGTGCAGGCAGGGGAGGAGCTGTGTGTGCATGGGAGGGGCATGCATGCGTTTGTGCATGTGGGGGCAAGAGATTTGTCTCTGTGGCCCAGTCCTGGCAAAGCCACAGACTGGTCCATAGAATGGGGATCGGGGGGCCCTGGACTAAAGAGCCCCAAACACTTTTTAATGATACCTAGCATGGAATTGGCCTTCTTCATTGCTGCCGTGCATCGAGCTGTCCACCAGCACACCAAGATCTCTTTCCTGATCTGTCACAGAGAGCTCAGAACCCATCAGTTGATAACTAGTTTTGATTTTTTGCTCCAAAGTGCATTATTTTGCATTTTCTTATATGCAAGTAGATCAATAGGGACCACCTCGGTGGGAAGGTAACAGCGTTCCGTGTCTAAGTCGCACTGGCCATGTGACCACGGAAGATTGTCTTTGGACAAAACGCTGGCTCTATGGCTTGGAAACGGGAATGAGCACCCCCCCCCCTAGAGTCGAACACGACTGGACAAAAATTGTCAAGGGGAACCTTTACCGTTACCTTTACCGTCTTTTTTGAGGTGTGCCAACCAGGCGCAGATTACCAGCATTTTGTACAATGGCATTATAATGTTGACTGTTTTATTTTCGATCCCCTTTTTATTGATACGTAGCATGGAATTGGCCTTCTTCACTGCCACTGTACACTGGGTTGACGCTTTCATCAAGCTGTCCACCACGACACCAAGATCTCTTTCCTGATCCGTCACGGACAGCTCAGAACCCATTAGCTGATAAAAAAAAGTTTTGATTTTTTTTTTTGCCCCAATTTGCATTACTTTACATTTTCTTATATTAAAACACATTTGCCATTTTGCCTCCCATTCTCCCAGTTTGGAGAGATTCTTCTAGAGCTCTTTACAATCCCTTCTGGTCTTCACCACCTGGAAAAGTTTAGTGTCATCTGCAAACTTGGCCACCTCACTGCTTATCCCCATCTCCATGTCATTTCTGAATAAGATGAAAAGCACCGGTCCCAGGACAGATCCCTGGGACACACCGCTTTTCACTGCTCTCCATTGTGAAAATTGTCCATTGACACACCTACTCTCTGCTTCCTGGTTCTCAGCCAATTCTCAGTCCATAAGAGGACCTTCCTTCTTATCCCCTGACTGTAGAATTTTCTCAGCAGCCTTTTTTGAGGGACCGTGTTAAACGCCTTTTAAAAATCCAGATAGACAATATCCACCAATCTACCCACATCCACATGCCTGTTGACCTTTTCAAAGAATTCTAAAAGGTTTGTGAGGCAAGACTTACCCTTACAGAAGCCATGCTGATTTTCCCTCAGCAAGGCTTGTTCTTCTACAGGTTTTAAGATTTTATCTTGGATGAGACTTTCCACCATCTTCCCTGAAACAGATATTAGGCTAACCAGCCTGTAGTTTCCTGGGTTCCCCCAATTCCCTTTTTAAAGATTGGAGTGACATGTGCTATCCTCCAGTCCTCTGGAACAGGTGAACATGCAGACCGGGGGATTGTGAATCCTTGGTAATTGTTATGAAACCCCTACATGGTTCTGTGTGCATCAAGTGACACAGATACCACTGGGTGAGAACCACTATCCTCAACTGCTCAATAGTTATCCTTCCAGCAAAACAACATGAGGGAAGGAGATCAAGCAAATATTGTAGAAGATTTAAACACCACTTCTCTGCAAACCCTCCTCTCTGTCTACCTGGACTGTTCAGCCAGTTAAGTGGGGAACAGGTGATCAGTACAGAAAGTGGGCTCAAGGAGGAAATGGGGTTGTGGAGAGGTGGTGCCTGGGAGGAGAGGATGGTGGAAGAGACAGAGAGTTTAATGGACTGCATCTTGTGCCGATCCCACTGATCCCAACCTCTGCTGAGAAGACTGCTGACATAATTCATATGAAAAAACAAGGGGCACCTCAAACAATTGAAATGGAGTTCTAGAAATACTGTATCAGGGTTATTCTTCACTGCTTCTCTGAGGCTGCATTTGTTAGTGAAGTCAAGACATTACTAATGTAGCACACAGCGGAATACAGTATATTACTGAGGCTTTGCAGCAAATCCGCCTGGGTTCTGAACCAGCCACTGTTTGTCTCCCAGCTCTACTCTGCTCTTTGTGCCCTCCCCTGATTTAAGTCCCTTCTTCTTCCCCTCAAACTGCCATCGAATAACCTCATCAACTTCTTCTAAGTCCTGAATAGAATGACACTTTCCCAGGGTAAATATTAGGCTATGAGCAGATGGTGCTGAGGCCAAAATTTCCACTCACATATATTTATTCTTCATCCAGAGAGAATAAAACTGCTGTTGATCAGCCTGATAAGATATTATCAAATCTTGCTGAAGGATTGATGCATATATAGAACTTGAGTGTGAAAGAGGGGTTACCACACTATTTATGCAGTTTACATGCCCCACTTCCAGTAGTGTTCTTACAGTAACTGGATTTTATAGATAAAAAGCTAGAATGCTGAAATTTGACTGAGATCCTGAGTTGCACTTATGCCAGCTACAGAAGAGGTTAATAAAGCCATCTCTGCTCCAGCCTTCAGTCACAGAGATGGAAGGAAACTGGGTAAGATGAGCATCATCCACATGGTGATATTTATTTGTGACACATGACACATCTAAGAACAGTTTTAGTGTTTCTATACTTGTTATTCTGCCACTGCTTTAACTTAGGTTTATATGCTATAACACTTCACTCTCTTACTGCTGTTTTTGTCTTCAGTTTATATTCTGCTGTGTTTAGTTATTGTTTTATTGTATTGTTGTCATGTAATTTAAACAGACTATATACAGTACAGTATTACTGAGAGAATTGTGACCTGAGTGGTTTAAAAGTGCAGCCAACCAACAAACCCAATACATCAATTAATTGGCACCCCACCTTCAACTCAAGGAATGCTTAGATGGCTGTCTCACAAATTTTTGAAGACAATGGACAGTACTACAACACAGACATGGTATCCTTAATGCCTATCACTCAGTAAACAGTATTGATTTAAAAAAACATTTGTGACTCTACAGCAAATATTTGATCATTTTCTGTGGCAAAAGTACACCTTCAATACAAAAGATGCATCTCCTGTACTGTGAATAATTAATTACAGTGGTGCCCCACTTGACGACAATAATCCATTCCGTTAAAATCGCTGTTAAGCGATATCATCGTCAAGTGAAAGAAAAAACCCATTGAAATGCATTGAAAACCGGTTCAATGCATTCCAATGGGTGAAATACCTCATTGTCCAGCGAAGATCCTCCATAGGGGAAGCCATTTTCGGTCTCTGTCTTCTGGAAATAGCTCCAGAAAACAGCAGCCGGCCATTATGAAAACCCAATGATCAGCTGTTTTTGATCGTCATAATGCGAAGAATCAGTTCCTGAAGTAGGGAACTGATCGTCGTAAAATGGATTTTCCCCTTTGAATCATCACTTTGCGATTGCAGTAGCAATCGCAAAAACCTCATTGTGAAGCAAATTCGTTGTGGAACAGGGTAATCATCAAGCGGAGCGAGCACCACTGTATTGAACAATAATGAGAAATTATTGGAAAGCCATAAATATTTACTTACTGGTTCCACAAACTCAAACATTTTCCTCTCTTGAACTTCTTGTACTTTGAAGACATATTCAAGGGAGACTTCGTAGAAGTGCTGTCGAACCAGGTCCACCTGGACATCTGCCTATCAGCCATCGTACGCATCAGAAAGACACAGAAGAGCTGTTCACTATTTATATTTAGTATCAAGGTCATGCAAACTCCTGCTTGTTGGTACCTCAGTTTTCACAAGGTATATTTAGTTCCAGAACAATACAAAAAGAAAGTTTTTAACACTTTATCAACTTCATCGGAAAGATTATCTCCCACTTAGAAAAGTTAATGAGGTACAAATGAAAAACCTGGCAATATCCATGACTGGATATGGGGGTTGCTTCAGGAAATTCTAGTCTTTTAAATTATATGTTGTCCACACACAATATTTATTTATTGCACTTATATGCCGCCCATCTAGACATTGTCTACTTTGGGTGGCTCACAACAGACAAGATAAAAACAACTTTAGGGGAGGGGAGATGAATTCAGCACAGACTCAGTTGACAGAGTGTCAGCTCAGCTAGGCCTCAACCATCTTGGTGAGTTAGGATTGTTTTGTCCAAATCAACAAACAGAAGAAGATGGGAAGTAAGAATGCAATAATAAATGCAAATCAGCCATCACTGAAATACTGACAGAGCTGCAATTTATATTTTCAACTATTTAGTAACTGCAATATAAAGGGGAAAAAGAAAAACGGGTGTCCTTTATTTTTTGTGTGTTAACAACTGGGGTAGATCAAGAAGCAGAATGAGATGTAAGCTGGAGGAAATTTGGTGGAATTCTGTGTGATGATTCTGTTGCCTAACAGCAGGTGGGCCCTCAAGAAAGTCAGCCATGGAAACTGTGAAACATACTGGGTGCCTATTCATTTGGAAATGTAGTTGGACAAAAATCAAGCAAAGAGCATGAATATACAGGAAATCCTCCCACAGCATGAGATTAAGGCAGATGCCAATAGTATTATTCTTAGTTACTATTTTCATTTTTCATAAGCTGTCATCAGTAGTTCCTTATTTTATTTCAATAGGAGGTTTTATCTTGAATTTGCTAAGACAAATTATTCATCCTAGCCTTCACCTGATGAGTTAGCACTTAATCTCCCTACAACAATCCTAGCAGATAAACTGGATCCCGGAGGTCTGTGCAACAGGGCTAGCCAGCCCTGTATCAAGGAGATCTCCCAAGCTTAAACAGCACTCTCACCAGTCAATGACACTGCCTCCCACGTTCTCAGGTGCCCAATGTAAAAACAGTAGGATGCTCTCAGCAAAGTCAGTAAAATGTGATACCATAGTCGTGGCTTTCCTGGCAACTAAATACATTCCAGTCAGCCAGATGTTTGGCAAGTATAAAAGCAAGCTAGTGAAAAAGTTGGGGCTCTCAACACATGGACCATTGTCTTTGGCTGAGCCAGACACACCCATGAAGCAGCTGCATGTTATTAATGGAGCACTCTGCTAAAACAACAGACATCTCCACATGCATCTGTCACTCTGCTGGCATGCTTCCCCCTCTGAAACCCTAGCTCCATAGCTAAATCTTCAGGCATTCCAAGTTTGAGAACATGTCGCCTCCTACTCCAATAGGAAATATCCACAAACGTAGACACACCACTAACAACACAAAGTCCATAAGTAAAATAATAAGCCTCTATGATGTTTTACAGTTGCCTGGATAGCTCAGTGCTTTAAGTATCTGGCTGTGGAACCAGAAGTTGGGGGTTTGATTCCCCACTGTGCCTCCTGGGAGAAGACCCAGCCTGTCTATCTCTGGGAAAGCTGACCAAATGCCCAGGATACCCCCAGAAAAAGGGACCGGTAAACCACTTCTGATTATTCTCTATCTAGAAAACCTTGGAAAGCACTGCCATAAGTCAGAATTGACTCAACAGCAAATGATTATGCAGTCAATGTGGTACTTTTGTTCAAAAAGGAATGTAAGTACAGTGGTGCTTCACTTAGCAATGTTAATCAGTTCCGGAAAAAACATCGCTAAGTGATTTAATTGCTAAGCGATTTTAAAAAGCCCATAGGAACATATTAAAACACGTTTAATACGTTCCTATGGGCTAAAAACTTACCTTAAAGCGTAATTCCTCCATAGCGGCGGCCATTTTGGGTGCCTCTACAGCGAGGCAAAACAGCGGTGGCCATTTTTTGCGGCAGCCATTTTGGAACTGCCAATCAGCTGTTTAAAAAAGTTCGCTTTGCTATGATCGCTTCCCCGCGATCATCGCAAAGCGAATTTTAGCCATAGAGGACATCGCTAAGCGATCGCTCCAGCGATGGCCAAAAGTCCATCGCAAAGCGATTTCATCGCTCAATGGAGCGATCGCTAAGCGAGGCACCACTGTAGCAGGTTTGGAAGTGGATAAAGTGTGGCCTTCCAGATATTAAGGCAGTACATCTCCTACTGGCTCACACCATCCATTGGCTAGCTGCCTATGGCTGATGGGAGGTGTTATTCATCAACATCTGGAGGGCTGCACTTCACCCACCCTGGCTTGCCCACCTCTAAGCTCCAAATACTAATCTGCCTGTAAAAACCAGGCACTCCAGCTGGTTTTATAACAAGAAAGTTAATGCTCATAACAAGAAAGAGCATTAACTTTCTTGTTATGAATGTTAATGCTCTTTTTTTTCTGTTAAGTATCCAAAAGCAAAGTTTTAATATACGAAACACACCACAAGGTGGCATGAGTATTCAAACATTACACATTTGGAAAGTTTTTACAGGAAGGGAAAATAAATTCACATTAACTAAGCCTTTTTTTAAAAAAACACACATTTTTCTTAAACTGATATAATTAAGCCATGGTTGGTGGGACTATTAATGAAATGTGTGTGTCTTTCACCTTCTTGTTACCATGAGAACACCAGAAGCATCAAACTCTCTTCTTTTTAACATTAACCAAAATTAAATGTACCCAACTAAAAACGTATATATTTGAACATGTGAAAAATCAGAGGAAAACATGCCTTAGTCAATGAACACACAATGAAGAACAGGTGTACTTCAAACAAAACTGCACAGCAAAATATGCACATGGTTCTAAGCATGGAAAAAAAAAGTCCCACAATCCCATAGAAATTTGCACAGAACAAAAATACTTAGAGGGATCGTGAGAAACACAGCAAGTGCTGAACAGAGAAGTGTTCAAATCTCCTTTAAGTTACTTTGTTCAACTACTGAAAACTAATCGGAAAGGAGAGGCTATCAGTAGTTACCAGATATGATGGCTCTATGTTACCTTTGGTATTTGAGGCAGTAGGCCTCTGAAAGCGCGTGGGAGGGAGCTGCTCCTGCTTGTAGTATTTGGTTGGCTACTATGGGAACACAACGTTCACTCAGGACCACTCTTTTTATATTTCCATTATAGCATTTGAATAATAGGCAGGTTCTGTAGAATTTAGCACTCTCCACCTTATTGTCTCTTTGCCCTCGTTGCTACTTCAAGGACTGCCAGGACAAAATGGATGCAGTTTTGAGAGAAGCAACAGCTGGCAGAAATATTCAAACAGACACCTCCTTGAAATATTCTGATGTCTTCACTTTTTCATCCTGGAGGTGACTCCGCTCCCTCAATCTGAAAACCACTAATTTCAGACCAGATGAGATGCCATGTTACAGGCATTACTGAAGAAAATGTGGCACTTTGTTAAAAAAAAAAGTGAAAATAGATGCAGGAGGGACCACCAAGCAGCACCAAGAGTGCAGACAGTAGCAAGTAAAGGAACTCCTTCCTCACAACAGTTCCTTCTGCACACATCCTGAAAATAATCCTCCACTCAAAACATGAATTGCCTCCAGAGAGACATTCTCAATGGCGCCACGAAAAACCTCCATCTGGCACTAATCATTGGTTTGCTGTTGTTCTTTTAATTTTCTATACTTACAGGTCCTGCTATAGGAAAACTGGAAGGGCAGATTACAAGAAATGTTACAAGAACTAAATTCAACGAGAGAAAAGGCATACTTACAACACATTGGCTGAAATCCTGTTGCTTAGCACAGTAAATGGTGCTTTGAGTAGGCTTACTGAATCAGCAAGTTTCTGGTGAGTCAACACATATGTAAGCTCCATAGAACCAAATGGGTCTACTCTTTCTGCAACTTACTTAATCATAATAAACTGTAGCCAGAGTAAGCCCACTTGAACCAGTGGAACTTTCCAGAGGAGTTGACTCATTAAATTCCTACGGCTTCAACAGGGCTCCTCTAGTGCAACCTGCTTAGTGTAGTAACAGATTTCAACCATTATAGAATAAAAATAACTTCAAAAGAAAAAAAATCCATTCACTTGGTGTTGGAACAAGAACAAATACGCAGAAGGCAAATGTCTGTGGAGAGGGCAAGCCAAAACTAAGATACTACTACAGTACTGAACAACCCCCATGCCTATAAGCCTCCTGTTATACCTCAGTTGGTAAGGACACATATAGAAGCGGCCCATGAGATCGCTAAGTGAATTTAGGTAAACACTGAGGTGGTCCCAACCAATGAAGGGGCTTAAAAGTTAAAAAAAAGGGGGCTTGAATTGGGCTCAAGACCCGAATGCGACCCAGTAAAGAGGGGAAAGTAAAGGTGTGACATATCACCCAACCTTACTTATTAGTCTCACAGTCATATTATAAACTACCCTGATGTTTCCAGACCATTTTTAAAGGCAGTCAAGGGCATGGGCAACTTAAAACGTTTATGGCAAGAACTGGGATAGGAAGACAATTAAGCTCCGTATTTTCCACAGGCCCAAACCAGACAGAGCCATGCATTTTATTTTATTTCGCCACACTTAATTTTATTTTTAAAAATTATTAAATGTAGTATGTAGCTACTTCTTAACAAACAACAATACCTATAGCAGAGCAATATGTCAAGAAAGAAAGGGGAAGGGAAATAACAGCAGTAGTAGAAGAACCCAAACTTACCTCTTGTAGCTGGGATTCCTTCTTCTTGGAAGAAAGGTTTGAATGGTTTAAGTTCTTTTCTAACACCCCACAGTATTTCTCCGTCTCCTTGTCATATTTTTTCTTGGCTTCCTGCCAACATATAGCACACACTTACACAGGGCTATCAAGAATCATTGCCTTAGCCATTCTCCAGAGCAATCTTACATCAATACAAATGTCACCACTTTTCTATTACTGATTTATTTACAGAGAAATGTATAAATCATCCTATTCGCAAAATTTCAAGGCACCTTCCAATACAGAGATTGGTGACCAAAGCAATAAAAAACTATGCTGCACAAAAAGTTATGCCATCACATGAACAATGGTCAGGGAGATGCTGGACAGCTATCTGAAAATAATTCAAAGCAGGCAATGTTTAACAGGGCAGCACCATATTTCCAAGCAACTTTTGCTATTATTTAGATAGGCAGGTTTGAACAATTTCCCCATACTTAAGAAACTGATCCAAGGGAAGACAATAATAATAATCATGTACCATCATAAATTCTGACTTATGAGCCTTCTCAGGGTTTTTCAGGTAGAGATTATCATTCTCTTAATAAGCCAGCTCTGGTTGGTTTTGTTTTGCCTTATTTTGCATTCTTCTTCTGACTTATTCTAGCCAACCAATCTGTGACACTAATCTAGGAAAGAAGCAGTTTTCTTCCACCATACAGTAGCTTAACTCCTGCTGGCCCACCACTTATTTTCAATGGTGGTTTTACAGCTGTGTTCACAGTAGATATAATTCCACTGCCTTATACAATTTCATTCCAGCCTTGGTGTTGCTCCTAGGTATTGTCTGCAGTTAAACATTTACAGGAAGACTCCCTTTAACAGGAAAAAGGATAAAAAGAAAGAGACCTGGCAGAAACCCATACGTTTGAGGAGCAGCAACAAGTTGTCATAGCAACAAAGCAAAACAAGACACAAGGTATAGCGTTTTGGAGGAGTTGAGGAAGAATAAAAGCTACATCTGACTTTCAATAAAATATTTCAGAGGTGAAATAAGGGTTTTCAGAGTACAAAGGTCCTCTGAAAAACCACACAACAACTTGTTGGTGCCAAACTTTTACTAATACTCCTACTATTAATTCAATTTATTGGATGCCTTTTTTATAAAAGAAGGCTCTAAGCATAGTAATGGAGTTTATTATTGCTGTACTGTATACTGGTTTCGACTATAAGATGTGGAAGTTGGAAGCCATTTGTCCTCTTTTACAGAGTGTGACTCTTTTTGTAAAGGTGCCTTTAAAGATGAAGAACTGGAACTTTGAAGTTCCCTATCAATAGTGACCTCTTAGATAGGCATATAGGTGATTGGGCCTTCTCCACTAATATGAGATATGTTGTTGTTGTTGTGTATTTTTAAGACCCAACTAAAAACTTGGATGTTTAAGCAGGCTTTCCCTCCAGTCAATACTTAATTTTTCTTTCTCCACTTATCTTCTGTTATTTTTCCATCTTGAAGAATCTGTTTATTGTTTTATAATTTTCATTTTCCTTTATGTATATGTAACTCTTTATTTTGTCTGGGAGCTGCCTAGAGTGGTCGCAATGACCAGATAGGTGGGGTATAAATAAAATAAAATAAAATAAAAATAAATATAAGAAGCTGATGATCAGAGCCACAATTAGCTCCAGTTCTTGTTTTTGCTGACCATATAGAGCTTCTCCATCTTTGGCTGCAGAGAATATAATCAATCTGATTTCGGTTTTGCCCATCTGGTGATGCCCATGTGTAGAATCGCCTCTTGTGTTGTTGGAAAAGAGTGTTTGTGATGACCAGCTTGTTCTCTTGACAAAACTCTATTAGCCTTTGCCCTGTTTCGTTTTGAACTCCAAGGCCAAACTTACCTGTTGTTCTTTTCAGACTCCCTACTTTAGCATTCCATTTCCCTATAATGAGAAGAACATCTTTCTTCAGTGTCAGTTCTAGGTCTTGTAAGTCTTCATAAAATTGGTCAATTTCAGCCTCTTCATGCATAAATTTGGATTACTGTGATGCTAAAATTTGGGTTCGTATTGAAATCATTCTATCATTTTTGAGATTGTATCCCAGTGCAGCTTTTCCCACTCTTTTGCTGACTTATGAGGGCTACTCCATTCCTTCTATGGGATTCTAGCCCACAATAGTAGACATGATAATCTTCTGAATTGAATTTGCCCATTCCCATCCATTTTAGTTCACTGATGCCTAGGATATCAATGTTTATTCTTGCCATCTCCTGTTTGACCACATTCAGCTTCCCAACGTTCATAGATCTTACATTCCAGGTTCCTATGCAGTATTTTTCTTTGCAGCATCGGACTTTCCTTTCACTTCCAGGCACGTCCACAGCTGAGCGTCCTATCGGCTTTTTGGCCCAACCACTTCATTAGCTTTGGAGCTACTTGTACTTGTCCTCTGCTCTTCCTCAGTAGCATGTTGGATGCCTTCTGACCCGAGGAGCTCATCTACCAGCGTCATATCTTTTAGCCTTTTGTTTCCGTTCATGGAGTTTTCTTGGCAAAGATACTGGAGTGGCTTGCCAATTCCTGCTCCAGGTAGATCGCGTTTAGTCGGAACTCTTCACTATGTCCTGTCCGTCTTGGGTGTCCCTGCACAGCATAGCCCATAGCTTCTCGGAATTACTCAAGCCTCTTCACCACAATAAGGCAGCAATCCATGAAGGGGAACATGAGATATACCAGGGTTCTATTAAAATTATAAGCCCTTTGTAATTTTTAATGTTTATATACACATTGATATATACTAAAGTCACTGGCTTTGGTATCTTACTATGGAGCCAGAGGTGAGCAGCTCCATCCCCCGCTGTAATTCCTGGGAGAAGAGCCATCTTGTGTGACTTTGGGCATGCTGCACTGTCTCAAAATGCCCCCAGAATAAGGGAATGGTAAACCACTTCTGAGTATTCTCTACCTGGAAAACCTTGAAAAGGGTTGCTGTAAGTCAAAAATGACTTGATGACACATGATTACTCTTGCTAGATTCAAATTAGCATATCCAGTTTACGCAGATTGATGTGTTCTCTCACTCTGTTTTTTTTTAAAAGTGATTCATATCCTCTCTTTTTTCCGGTTACCCTATCTGAAGGGAGCCATGGCTGGGAAAACAATTTATTATTTGTAGCTTTGGATCCTTCCTTATCTGAAGACAGACCTTTGCCTTTCCAAGCATTACAACCAGGAAACACAAGATGTAGACTCCTTCAAACAGTTTCTGACGTATTAATAGTTATGTGATGACTATTGACATCTACAATGCATATGATGGATGGCAGTAACGACACAAAGATATTAACAATAAAGGGCATACACAAATTTTATATGCTTGAGCAGTTTACACAAAAGTTTTCAGGCATGACTTTCCACTCTCATAGAAAAGAGAAAAGATTTTTCCTTTCCCCACCTACCTTAGCAGCACCAATTTGTTCCTTACGGAATTTCTCCAGAGGAGTGATTAGGACTTCACTAGCATTCTCAATCTGACAAAGGTTTAAAAAAGAAAAATCAGTCTCTTGCATTTCGGAACTAAGCTTCCTCATTCTTATGCTCAATTACTATAATTCTGTCTGAATTTGGGAAATTTTCCCTTCCTAAGAAATCTGCATGACTCAGACTCTTACAGACCATATTATTAAGGATCCTTATACTCAATTATACAAAAATAACTGGCGCTGATATATAAATATTTCAAACTAGAACAATTAAAGAGCAATGCAGCAGGCTTTGTTCACATAGCTAGCTTTCGTACCAAACAGGAGAGAAAGCTCTGGCATTATATAGCTCTTCCCTCATCTAAAAAAAAAGAAACCTCTGCTGATTACTATATTATACTGCGATCCAGCCTTTTTCTTCATTGTGCAGTCAAACACAGACTTAACTGTTAACAGCCAAGCAAAAATGCTGTAGTGAACACAACTTCAGTATAGTTAAGGTAAACCTTTAATACTTACTTTAGTAACGTGGGAATTAATAGGATTCAAAGTTTTGATGTGAAAATCTAAGTAATGAAAACCACAAAGCATCTCATGTCACCTTAAAGACTAACAAATTAGGCATACACTTTTGTGAACTACAGTTCATGTCACCTGATCAAGCTTATAACCCATAAAATGTTAGCCTTTAAGGCGCCACAAGTTTCTATGTTGTTTTTGCTGCTGCAGCCTAACATGGCTGTCTCCAGGACATTATGCTGTTGCTTCTGTATTTCAGTTTTGAGCTCTTCTGCCCCCTCATGCTAGCCCTTTTATCATCGGCTTCATTCACAACAGTCTAAGGTTGACATATCACACATCACCGATGTGTCCAGGGGGGTTCTGTGACGGTGCTTTGCCTGTAAACTTTGGGACCAAGGCATCTGAGAGCACCGCCACCTTCCATGTCAGCCATCTCAAGCTGGGCTTATCAGCTGCGAGTGTGTTCTATTATCTGCCGCTAGCAGAGGTTCTCATTACTGCAATAGTCTGCCTTGAGCAGTGGTTCCCAACCTTGGGTTACCCAGATGTTCTTGGACTGCAACTCTCAGAAACCGCAGCCAGCACAGCTAGTGGTGGAAGGTTCTGGGGTTACCCAAGGTTGGGAAACATTGGCCTACAGGATTCAGCCATTCCCGTGGTATAACAATATTTTGATATCCAAGGCCCTTCATTTCTTCCAGGTTTTTTGATTTTCTTTTCCTCCCCCTCCTTTTCTAAATTTTGTTTTGGCCAGTTCTCATTTCTATTCTTTCTGCCTTCTTGTGGTTTAAACTAAGTTTATGAAGAACACATGAGTTGCTCACAGAAAGTTGGTGTGCTACCGTGGAATCTCAGATAGGGCTGGAAAAAAAAATGCTGCATGGAATTGGGGACAGCAAAGCTCATCAATACATACTGGGGTAGACTGAACCAGACACAGTACAAAGCGGCTTCCAGTGTCTCCATCCCTCCCTCTTTTTTTGCATCTTATTTTTCAATTAGGAGCCTGTGCAAGGGTATTTCTGCAGAGTTAATCCACAGATACTTGGGAAAAGGAGGAAGAGAATACAGATCCCTACATGAGGGTGGGTTGGCGTAGATCTTACTGGCATTCGTCATTTCACTACTAGAAGTATCTGGGAAGATGGAAAACGTGGGCATAATCAGCACTTTTGACCCATCTTGACAGCAGCTTCTGCATTTGATGCTATCAGGAGAGCTTTACTCCAGCTGAGAGCAAAAATGTATCAGCAAGCTGAACCACATAATGGGGTCATTGTTCTCTGAGTGCAAAGCCAACTGGATTCAGTGGCAGGCAGTTCATCACGGTTTGCTGTCCCTGTTGTGCTGCCAAGACTTACTCCCCAAGGAAGAATATTGCTATTCTTTTAGAGACACAAAAGCTGACAATTCTGGCTGCTGAGCTATATTCTGGCCACAGACCAAAGTAGGCAAGAGCAGCAAAGAGATTATATCCCATCCTCTTCCCAAGGCCATGATACAGTATAGCAATTCTATATCATGCAGCGTAAACAAAAGCAAACACTTCACCTTACAAACACAGTACAGTACATATACAGCTCTCGAAAATCCTTTGAAATAATGACAATCCATCTTCCTGGGGTTTCATCATTATATAAAGTGTTCCTCGTTCTGTAAGCACTCTGAGACTGGGCAGTTTGCTCAAGGCTGCAGAGTGGAAGGGCACTTAGTCCCATGAACCACATATGGTCTAGGAGGTACATTGGGGATCCAAACCGCTGGCCCCTGACTCTGAAACCAGGTGCTTTAACCCACTGAGGTATACCAGCTACTGAAATCGCTTGGGTCACAATAAAATTTTACTTTCCCAGACAAGATCTTGGAATTTCTAACTATTATCCTTATCTCTTTCTCGAGCTGCTAAAACACCCGTTCCCATTTTAAAAAATCACTAGTTTCCCCTTTTTTTCCAAATTATATATACTGTATACAGTATAAAGAGACACAAGTCTCAAAGATCATACCATCCGCATGCGTTCATCTTCTAGATTCCTAAGAACAGCAGCAAACTCTTGCAGGGATTTTGCTGCGGGGAAACAAACAGAAAAAGAAAACAAAGATTGGCTACTCTGAGACCTTATTATTATTTCTAAGAACAGAACACTTTCTGTCCAGGTGACATATTCGAAGGCATCATAAAAGCCCTCCTTGTTTTTGTTTTTGTTTTTGTTTTGTTTTTAATATTTATTAAAGGACAGGGTAGAGTATACAAAAAGTAAGGGAGAATAGGGAAAATGGAAAAAGTGTTAGGGGGATAGGAGAACACAAAGTATACAATCATCCAATCAATTCATATTACAATAACAAATCAACTTTTTGCTTTTTCACAATTTGATTACCCTCCTGCTTTCATCTTATCATTTAATTTTAGTTTAATTCTATGTTACTCCAACACTATCTGGTAACTGCAGCCATTTATACAATACATCCCATCATTCAGTTTTCTTTTGAATTGAACATTCTTTCAGCCCATCTGACAGGATATCCATTTTTGTCATTTCCCATATTTTCCCAATAAATTTCTCTTGTTTCAGTATCTCTGCTTTCTTGAGATTTTTAACATAATGCTTTTTAATTTTGGAAGCTGCATAGGTCACTGGATGCCTCTTTATCTCATCTATGTTTCCGGGTGTCATGCCCAATAAAGTCGGTTCTGAAGTTTGTGCAACTTCATTTAACTGTTGTTTGGCATCTAATGTCCCCTCTTTCATCACTTTCATCAGATCTTCTATTTTGCTAAGACCTTCATTCACTTGCTGAAACCCAGTTATTATTGTCTTTTGCATAGTAATCTGCCATTCCTTTTCTATTTCTTCTACAACTATTCCAAAACTTTGAGCTTGCACAGACCAGGTCTCTATTTGATGTCTTAAATTTGGGGGGGGCATCTCAGGCTTTCAAATAAGTGGGGTTTGTATAGATGATAC